GGGGTGGTCTCCGGAAAGGGTTAGGGACCAGTTGGGGGGGGGGGGGCCGAGCGCGGTCGGGGAAAGGATTGGAGCGCCACCCACCAGCAGGGCAGCGGATGGCTTCGGGATGCTGAGGGGGCGGGGGGGGTGGGGCATTCAGGAAGGGGACCAGCCTGCATCTTAGGGTTTTTGGACCAGATTTTCTGTGATGGAAGGAAATGCACATTTGATGAAGTAAATGGGCCAGACTTTTTTTTTTTTAATTTAGCCTCAGATACTAAGTGTATGGGCTTCTATAAGGATTGTATTTTATTTTTATCCACATTAATCAGTGCTGCCTATTTTAAGTGGACTTTTCAGGCAATTGCTTTGGGAATCTACATATAAACTAGGTAACTGTTGTGACAGTGTTCTGTTTATCTTTTCACACAACCTCTCCCAAATTTAATAGTCGGCTCATTTCGATGTGAATAATAAAACAAAATAATAAGAGGAAAGAGAAAGAAGCTGGTGCGTGCCTGTGCTTTTCAGGCGGTTAGCCAACCAGCTAGGTGCCGTGCCTGCAAAGAGGTTGTGCTTCTGGTGTCCGGCTTGCCGCTCGGCTATCTGGCTACAAGACAAAGCAGATAACCGGCCGAGGCTTTTCGTCATGGTGTCATTTCATCACGTTTTGTACTTTGTGAAGTTTTCTTCTCGCGCCCCTCCACCATTTGCCGGGCGTCTGTAGTATGAAGGCGAAATGGAATTATGCCAACATTTGCTTTATCTTTGTTCACGGACAAGCCTAGCCACTCTGTAGAAGTAAAGGTGGTTGGGAGGGGTCGGGGGTGGGAGGAATCTAAACACAAGACAGCCAGAAGGAAATGGGAGCAGGTGTGCAAATGCATCCTCCCAGCTAGTCTGGAAACGTTATACTGCAAGCTTTACGTTGACCAATGAACCAGGAAAAAGACAACAGAGAGAGAGCAAAGAGCAAATAAATACAAGACAACAAAAACCCTCTGTTTTGTGCTTATTAGATCTTCCACCTCCTTCCACAAGAGAACGGCCTCCTGGGTGTAAGACTGTGTTTGTCGGAGGACTACCAGAAAATGCTACCGAGGAAATTATCCAAGAAGTCTTTGAGCAGTGCGGGGATATCACAGCCATTCGGAAAAGCAAGAAGAATTTTTGTCACATTCGCTTTGCAGAGGAATTCATGGTCGATAAGGCCATTTACCTTTCTGGTACTTTGCATTACATAAGGCTTTTTTTTTTACACATTTTGTTGTGTTTTGTGATGTTAATAGGAGCTTCTTCCCCTTTGCCTTAGCACACAATGAGGTCCGTGGAGTTGGGCTGGAAAAGGAGGGGTCCCGCAGGTGTCCCTGGCTGCCCTTGGCTCTGCACGCAGCCTGTGAATTTGCCTTGCCACAGGGGTACTTTCCCACCCCCAGTCCCTAGGAATGCAGTCTAGTTTCTAATTCATGTTCTCGAGTGCTTATGAGATGAAAAGCAAAATAATGAGTACCGAGGATCATTATTATTATTGGATGCGATCTTCCAGGGGAATAAAGTACTCTCTCGGGGTCATTTAGCTTCTTAGAAGTATGGATTCCCTTCTTAGCCCCTCCGGGTCCAGGTCCCAAAGCAAGAGCACTTCCTCTGGGTTTCCAACTGCTTTCTCCTTGGAAGGGTAGACCTCAGGGCACTGCCCATGGCGCCTGCACTAAGCTTGGGGAAGCTGCCCTCGTGGTGGGGGAGCCGTGCAGTGTAGACACGGGGCTGAATGCTGCTTTCCAGTCTGCGCGAGTTGGAGCAAAAGGATGGGGTCTGTCAACAAAGCGTCTGCCAAATCTCAGAATTACGGGGACCGGCACTGACACGGGCTTTAGCCGGATGTATTTTTAGATTCAACTCATTACCATTCCCTCGCACATTCCATCTACATTTTTCAGTCTGTCACTCGCTGCTCATTACCTTCCTGTACCCGAGGCAGCACTCATGGGGGGAGGTAGGGAAACAATAGGGGGGAAAACTCAGGAAGCAACTCTGCACCCTGTCTCCAGGCTTTCCCAGCTCCTGCTGCCAGCCTTGGAGCCTGGATGCTAGCCCAACCCTCCGGGGGCTCTCCAGAGCTAGATCAGGGGACCCGGGAACTTCAAAGTGGTCCCTTCAAGCAGGCCTTGCAAAGTGGGAAGGAAGGAACATCGAGACACATTCCAAAATGGAGACGGGAACCAAGCAGAGTGAGAACAGCATGCAGGACACAAATGCCACGCCCCCGCCCCCCCCCCCTTCACTTTGTCCTGAGCCAGGGCATCCACACAGCCATCAAGGAGAGGGGGGTGTGGTGTAGCAGGCCTGAGACAAGGGTCTTAACCAACTTCAGGGTCTCCAGACTCTCATCTGTACAAGAAAAAATGGCAGCTGCCTGCCTACCTCGTGGGTAGTCGTGAGGAATGAAAGCAGTGATAGATGGTGAAGTGTTTCCCTTGTAGAAAATCTCACCAAACTCCTTGCCTTTGGGGGATGCCGACTGCTGGACAGGGCAGAACTGCCTCTGTACGTTTCTGAGAGTAACTGATTATGGGACTAGAAAGCACCTCTTTCTCCTGAGGTGTGGCTGGTGGTTTCAAATTGGCGACCTTACAGTTAGCAGCCCAACAGAACAGGACCCATTCCGTTACCGGTTTTAACCCACAGAGTCTACTGCTGCTCACAAAAGGGCTACTGCTTATTTCTTAGGAACCCTGCTCTGGCACTTGGATCTGTCCCTAAAACGGTGATCAGATCTCACCTGATGAGATGACACAGGTTGAGTAGATGAAAGACACTTTTCACCATGAACTCAACCCTTTTTGTGCCTTCCAGAACCCCCATAAGGCAGCCCCATGCCTAGACCTTTGGAAAGTACTCCCGTATGTGTGCCGTGATGCTGCCTTTTTCTCAGCCCCGCTCCTCCCCAAATAGCTCCTTGCTTTGCCCCTGCACAGGAGGACTGAACAGCAAAGGCCTGCTAGGGTGCAGGATGGTCTCCTGCCTCGGCTACCCAACCAGGCTGATGGCATCCGTCCGGCCTGGGCAGCTCTGAAAGGCTGATTAATTGGGAGGCAGGCAGGAAGGAAGGCTGCCCCTCCTGTGTTGAGATCCTGTAAGCCAAGCCCAGCTGTGAGGCCTGGCTAATTTTAGGACCACTTTCACATTTGAAGGCCAAACTAATTTTAGACACAGCCTCATCAGGGTCTCTTTTTAAGGCCCTAATGATGATGTTTTGGTGAAAGGAAAGGTGCCTTTGGGACCAGAAATGCTTGCGAAGGGAGTCTCTGTATGGGAGCAGGGAGAGGTGGTTGGCCAGTTGGGACAGCTGGCGAGTGGGAGGCTTCCTTGCTGTTCAGCACAGATCACTGGGGCCTGCTGACTCGCTGAGTACCCATAGCCCGCAAGCAAGGCACCTTAACTGCCCATCTGTGATTGGACGTTTGCACCGTTCATAGGTAATTGCTATGCCTTTCCATCTTTTAGAGAACACAGCTGAGACCTTGGGCGTTCGGGAAGGGTTTGGTGGCATGGTAGAAATCAGCGGGGATATGGGTATCTTATTTGTAACTTTTCAGAGGTGGGAAGTACCCCTGTAGGGAGAATGCAGCCTCTCCAGGGGTTCTCAGCTGAGCTGTAACCCCAAAGGCTCAGCTAATCCATTGAAACCTGCTGTGAGATCTTGAACATCAGCGCAGAGCGGCACAGCCTAGAATTCCACAGATGTGTCTCGTTTGCAAAGCTCCTACACAGCAAAAGGGCTCACTCTGCCATCTTTCTTGGCAGACCTGCTGGGACCTGAATTTATGTTCTTTAAAATCTCAGCACCCCGAGCTGAAGAAAGCAACCTCAAAGCCTCCTTGCGGTCATTTGAAGTCTGGCTGGCTGTCTCCAGTCCTGTTGGTGCTGATTCCTAAAATCCAGTTTCTGCTGCTAATCTTCCCGAGTTAGGTAGCTCAGAGCCAATCCCCCCAAAGACCCCCAGCCCAGTGCTCCCTCTACGTGGGGGCTCCCGTAGCTTTCATAGGGCGTGTGGACTGTTTGGTACGGAGCCGCGTGCCAGAGGATCCGCTGCAGAGCTGTGAGGAGGGCTGTGGTGAGGCCTCTTGATTGAAGGTAACATATTCTCCTGTGTGCCCCACAGGAGGATAAGTGGAAATAAAACAGCATTGCGAGATTGCCTTTCGTAATTGGGCCTCTTGCAGTTGCCATGCAAGAATTGAGAAGCAGAGCTGTGTGAGTGCAGGAGACACCTTGGAATTTACTTTGTAGATCTTCTTAAAGACCATAGATGCTCTTCATTTACAACTCCCCGCCCCCCACCATCCCCTGCCACCTCTTTCTGGAAAAAACTTAGGGGCTTAGCCTAAAGAGTTGCAGTCAGTTGCTTGAAAGTTTAAAATCAATGCCATACAGGGGTGGAGAATGGGGGTGGTGGGGATGGGGCGATGTTCTGGGTCCAGTTTACTACTGAGCTTCCTGGGAGCCAGAGGAAAGAAGGCATTTTGTTAAGTGCCCAGAGCTGGAGATCGCCCTCTGTTGTTTACAGCAGTTGGGAGTGTGGCAGGGGACTCTGAGACCTCCCCAAGGAATGTTTACCACTACCACCACCCCTCCCTGCCCCATATCTGACTCCTGGTCACCCTATAGGACAGGATAGAACTTCCCTTGTGCATTTCGGAGACTGTCACTCTTTACGGGAGTAGAAAGCCTCCTCTTTTCCCAGCAGGGCAGCTGGTGCTTGTCAGCTGCTGACCTCATGGTTAGCAGCCCAATGAGCAACCAATACGCCACCAGGGCTCCACTAGGGAGTCTGGGTGGTGCAAATGCCCAGCACAAGCAGAGGGAGGCTGCTAACTGGAAGGCTGGAAGTTTGAGTCCTCCCATGGGGCACTTCAGAAGAAAGGCCTGGCAGTCTACTTCCTAAAGATAAGCATTGAAACACCTGCCACGACAGTTCTACTCTGGCACATGTGGGACCGGCATGAGTTGGGGGTGGGGGTGTGGGGGGGGTATGCAATGGGTAGCAGGGGTTTTGAGTTGCGCAGGAGACGGCTAACTGCCCTCCCTGTCCCCTGTGGTATCGGCAGCGTCTATCGGCCGTCCTCGAAAGCTCACCAAGATGCTCCTTATGGGTCAGGAGTGGTTGGTGATCTGACCAGACTTTATTGGTTTCAGGTTATCGGATGCGCTTGGGGTCCAGCACGGACAAAAAGGACTCGGGCCGCCTCCATGTGGACTTTGCGCAGGCCCGCGACGACTTCTACGAGTGGGAATGCAAGCAGCGGATGCGTGCGCGGGAGGAGAGGCACCGGCGCAAGCTGGAGGAGGACCGGCTGCGGCCGCCCTCGCCGCCCGCCATCATGCACTACTCTGAGCATGAGGCGGCCCTCCTGGCCGAAAAGCTGAAAGGTATGTGCCACCGCTCGCCTGGCTTTGGCTGTTGCCACATGAAAAGGGCATTGATCCATGGGATCCTCACATGACCCCGAGGCCCTAGAATCCAAAGGGCCAGAGTAGTAGGATGCCTGTCATCCTACTGGGGACAGGGCTTTGCTGCTCTCCAGCACCGCACCCAATGAGATGGTAGAAGGCAACGTCCACGTACCCCAAGGCCGCCTGTGGTCCGGTGTGCAACGGACCAAGCTGGTCTGCTCCGAGGAACACTGTTCCCAGGGAGTCAAAATCAACTCCAGGGCACGAGTGAGAGGCCATGGCAAGGATCCCTGGCAGCAGAGTGAGTTACGAGTTGGTGACCTTGTGCGTGTCCAAGTAGAACTGTATGCTCTAGCATTTTGATGGGCTGAATCCTTTTAGAAGTGTCTCAAGACTTCGGAGGGTCCTCCAGGTGGACTCAAACCTCCAACCTCTCAGTTTGGTCGCTGAGCATTTTAACAATTTGCACAACAGGGACTTGAAGAGCTAGAGCTTGCAGCTGTGCCCAGCTCTCCACAAAGCCTTACTTGGCAGTAGCAATTGCTCAAGGGTTCAGCTTGGCAGCTTGGTGTCCAACGGAGAAATGTAGACATGGATTCTTGTCTGCAGAGACGGGGTTGAGGGGACACTGTCACCCCCACGGCATAATACTTCTAGCAGAAGAGACTACCTTCCATTCCTTCAGATGTTTGCTGAGTCCCGCCGTGCTGGTGCTGTGTAGGATGGAGATATGCGAGGGGCTTAGTGGCTGCCCAGTGAAGGACAGCGATGAAGGAGGAGAGACCGCTGAAGTCAGAATGTGTGTGAATTCTGTTTTATTCCTGATTAAAGTGCTTTCCTCTGAGCAGAAGCTGTGCGTCCCACAGGCAGATGACTCCTCTCAGCTTACTGGGCACTTTGGGCATGACAGGAGAGACACTTGAGAAAGTCCCTGTCATATTTACTGGCCCACCGGTCAGTATTGGCAAGTAAACAATGAAGCAGGAAAAAGCTGGGTGGCATGTTTGTCAGCCGGAGTTGAGTGATGCTGGCGGAGGTATCAATAAGGTTGTCACAGCCGGGGCAGACTTTTAACCATAGGTGTAGATGAAGTTTTTCCAGGAGAATACTAAGGAACACACTCATCAGAGCCTCGGCCCCAGGGATAAAGACCGGCCGGAAGCTGGGGTGTACCTGGCACAAACTGCCCTGAGGAGTGTGGGTGCCACGTAGAAATAGCTAGCACAGGTAGACCTGGAGAACCCCACTAAGGTTGGATGGCCGGATTTGTGGTTTATTCCACGAGCATGGAAAAGTCATTAACGACTTGTGGTGAGAGCAGGACAGGATCAGCGTGCACAGTGTGTGTGGGGAGATGGCTCCACTGCCAGAGAAGTATGGAAAGCTGCCCAAACCTGGCTGTAGCGCAGTAAGAATTCAATGTTCCAAGACAGGCCTGTGCCTCCAATACTCAGTCCTGTTTGAGGCCTTGGATCCCACTATTGTTGGTATTAGTTGTCATCAAGTCAGTGACCCCTTGTGGCAGAGTCAAAGGGCTCCACTGGGCTTTGAAGTCTGTCTGTGACCTTTCAGGAATAGATAGTCAGGCAATTCGTCTGGGGCACCTCTTGGTGCATTCGGTCTGGCAACCTTTCAGCCAAGAGTCCAATGTTTAACTACTGGTGCCAGCCCAGCACTCCCTGCTAGCCCCTAATCAGGCACTGTTGCAACCTGGGCAGTTGCTCGCTGATGGCTGTTCCCAGAAGCGGTTTCCTAGGAGTGTGAATATCTTCAGTTGTGGCTAAACCTTGCCATAGTTGTTACACACTGAGCTATCAACTGTAAGGTTAGCAGTTCAAAACCACCAACCACCCTGTAGCAGCATGATGAGGCTCTCTAGTCCCGTAAGGAGGTACTATCTCAGAACCCACAGGGGCAGTTCCACCCTGCTCTACAGGGTCACCAGGAGTCAGAATTGACTCGATGGCAATGAGTTTGGTTTTAATTTGGGGTGGGGTGGGGCTGTTCCTTAAGTAAAAGGATGTATGCATAGACATGGCTCTCATTTCCGCTGAGCCAGGAGACCCTCAAGAACAGTTTGAATGAGAAACAGCTAAGTTGTCATCCAGGAAGGTTTTTGAAACAAGTTACTGTGCCATACCTCCAGCGCATCATGCGGTATGAACATCTGATCTGCAGAGCCCAGATGGTATGCAGTCGTGTCCACTCCCAGGAGAGGCACAATCCAGCCCCTGAGGTCCGTGACCTCAGGGAGGACTCTCATGGCAGTTTGGCACACACATATGTTCCTTTAAGGAGCCAGCAGAGGAGTGGCGGGTGCCACACTTGCCTCTCCCCTTTGAGGACCACAGATTGGGATGTCAGTTCGGTAATGCAATCTGCAAGCCTTGCCATTTCAAAAATATATATTTATATAGATGAGTATCACTTGCAGGATTCCAAAGTGGCCCCTCTGCCAAGCACTGTGTGATCCCTTGAGGAGAGAGCAGATTGGAATTTTTAATAGATGGCAGTTACAGTAGAATGAACTAGCTGGGGATACATTTTAGGCAAGACTCAGGTAATAGCAAGCTTGACAATTTCAACCCAAGCACAGAGTTTGGAATATAAACAGCGTTTAATTGCTTAGCAAATTGGCTGCCTCACGGAGAGGAAATCCACTCCATGCTCCTTGTAATGCTGCAAAGCCAGCCGGGAGGAGCCAGGGATGTGCCTTCCCTGAAGATGATTTCACTGATGCGGGGCGATAAAATGTAGTCAGAGACCTAGAGGGAAAGAATCCAGTGTGAGAAAGGAAATGGAAATGCAATATGAAATTACCTAATTGGATTTGATTTTTTTTTCTTCGCTCCCTCCCCTGAGAAATCTTCCTGTCTTAGGTTTAAGAATGATGCCTCCCCACACTCCCTTCCTCGGTTTTACATTGTATTTATTGCTATAGTTTTGGGGGGAAATCCGTAAATGTCTGTATGATGCTCCCTCAGCCCTCCATGCCCTGCCCAGCATGAAAACAGTGCCCACAGTAGCTACTCAGTGGATGAGTTCTTTTCTTTTTCCCTTACCTACTTGGGCCTTTGAGTACATTGCAGGAGTGCTATCAGGCATGGGGGAAGTTCAGGACCGTGATGGACACTCAGTTGTCATTTCAGAGTCTCTGCAAGCATGTGCCTGGCATGGTGCTAGACCCTGGCCAGAGAGAAAGCAGTATAAGATGCTCCTGCCTTGCAGTTGCTGTGTCCAATGTAAGAGAGGCAATTGCAAAGCACTCCCCACAATGGGAAGTGCAGTGGGCATTGTAGGAGTGATGCCCCACCAGCTGGCCATCTCCAGGAGACAGGATACCCATCCAGTGACCACTTGGCCTCCTGAAGCCCCAAGAAGCCTCATGTTTCCAATACATAGCATCAGAGCCACGGGGTCACCCCAGTCTGTGTGTTAATACAAGTTCAAAAAAAAAAAAAAAGGCGAAATTAGCCAGCCCCCTGTTGAGGAAAGAGACATTGTTTTGAGGCAATTCAGCTTAATGAAGACTGACTGAGAAGTAACTGTTCATGGGCCCAAAGCTTATTTCATGGCTTTGAGAAAGCAAGGAGGTGCTCAATAACACCCTAATTACACTTTATTGGAAACAGTGGCACCAGGCAGATGAGATAATGAATTCTGGTGTGTCTGACACAGACCATCCACCCCTGGAGGAACCTTCCCCTGTTTGGACTGTGTGAAGAAGAGATTGATTAGACTGTGAGGAAGAATTATTTACTAAGTCGCTGGGGACTTCTCTTGAGAAGAACATTTAAAAGTTTTTCAGTTTACTCTTCCCCCACCCCCCTTTGGAAAGCCGCCTGTAATCCTTCATTATATGAGAGAGTGGAGCGTTTCTGCCTCAGGTGAAAGTTCTGAGGAAGCTTTCGCAGCAGAACTCTTAGGAGCCCCTGAGGTGTGGAGACTTAGTCTTCCCAAGATCAGCGATGGATTCCTCAATAAGCAAGCTAAGCTCGAGCTGACCGGGCCTTCCTTACCTTCCCCGAGTGAACAGTTCACGTGGGTTCTTTCACCAGATGTGTGGCGTCGTGCTCAGTCTGAGCTCACCTGGCTTACTCGGTGTGTCACCCACCAGGGATGGTACCTTTGGAAAGTGCAGTCTGTAGGAAGGTGCTGGTGTGGGGCCGAGGGAGTAAGTGATTCTGACTGCGAAGCAGATTTTAGGTGTGATGGGACAATGTATACTTGTTCACTACAGATTAGTAGGAAAGCACAAGTTTGCCCAGCTTACCTTGCCCATCGGGTGATCTGGCACAGCACCGGACCTACGTTCTTAACTCCCAAGGGTCTAGGAGTTCAGATTTGCCTACTGTATGGCTCCTGCGTCTGCCTGCTAGTGGGGAGGGCCAGTGGAAGTGGTGCCAGTGTTCTGCTGAGCCGGCCGTCAATATTTATGGCTTTGTGAAAGTAAAAATCGATAACACTATGATCCAAGTGAAGGTCCATTAGCTAAGAGCCAGACTTCCTTCGTAAGGCAAGGAGTCTAGGATGCACATTGGCCTGTCTGTGAATATGTCTTTTTTGGGCGCCCTTGACCTTCTGAGTCTCCAGATTCAGGCTGTTACTTGCACACATTATGCTGGACTCCTGAGATGGGAATCATCGGTGCATTCTTTTTCATATTATCCCCTTAAGTTTTTCGTTGCTTTTTTTTAAACTGGTACTAAATCATCAGGGAAATATTTCACGATGTATGTGTCGCATTCCTTTGAACAGTGTTGTGTATAGATTGTTTCCCATTGTAGAGACATTTGCTTCATATAGAATTACCTCTCTGCTGTGACTCTTTTAGAGAGCTATCCCAAATTAAGCGAGGTGGTTGTAGCTTTCTCAAGGCGGTTCCAACCCAGATAGCCACCCTATCCACACAGAATGAAACACTGCCCGGGCCTGTGCCATCCTCACATCTGTTCTTCTGTTTGAGCCCATTGTTG